CCAGTAATACCCACATGCAGTCTAGCATTTGAATATTCACTATAGGCCTCTGTTCTTATAAATACTAAATGAATGATTTTTTTAAAAGATAGACATGTAGGCTAGGTGCAGTGACTCACACCTATAATCCCAGCACTTTGGGAGGCTGAGGTGGGCAGATCACAAGGTCAGGAGTTGACCAGCCTGACCAGTCGCTACTAAAAATATTAAAAATACAAAAAAATTAGCCAGGCATGGTGGTGCATGCCTGTAATCCCAGCTACTTAGGAGGCTGAGGCAGGAGAATTGCTTGAACCCAGGAGGTGGAGGTTGCAGTCAGCCGAGATCATGCCACTGCACTCCAGTCTGGGTGACAGAGTGAGACTCCTTCTCAAAAACAAACAAACACATAGCATGTAATGAATAAAGAGTTTGAAAAATGTATTTAAATAATAACTTTTTTAAAAGAATAATTTTGATTTTGGGAATTCCAGAGAATTCCAGTTCATTGTTTTTGAATCCTGAAGATTGGTATTGTTGGGAATTAAGGAACACTGCAACACTACTACTAAGAAATGCATGGGGAGAAATGCCAGATGTGGGTGAAGGGGAGGAAAAGCAGCAAAACACACTGCCATGCGTGTACCTATGCAGCTGTCTTGCATGTTCTGCACATGTACCCCAAAACCTAAAATGCAATAAAAAAAATTAATTAAAATTAAAATTAAAAAAAAAAAAAGAAATCAAATTTATGCCTTGAAGTTCAGCTCAGTTTGGTTTTAGTGTTTTCAGCAACAGTTCCATGAAGGGCCACAAGGTGGAGGTGGTACTTCACAGAACTAGCTAGTTATGGTCTCTATAATCCTTAAAGTCTCTTTAATGGTCTCTGCTCTTTTTTATTTTTCCTCCTACCTCGTAAGATTGTTGTAAACTCTTCACTCTTTAGAACAGGCAAGCTTGGGGTTTTTTTTTGTTTGTTTGTTTGTTTGTTGTTTTTTCTTGCTGATGATGGAGACGATTTCTAAACATTTAAGGCAGAAATAATGCTAACCAAACTCTTCTTGGAAACAGAAAAGGAAGAATGCACCACTGAAGCCATGTGGGGCCACAGTTATCTTTTTGGAAGCTTTTTAAAGTAAAGCATATTTTATTTCTTGAAGAGTTAAAATACCTGTTTTTCCTTGAGTAAGCTTTGGTAGTTTTTATCTATGAAAAAATTTGTTCATTTCATCTGTTTTTGGTTTCATGAGTTATTTATAGTATTTTATTATTTTAACAAAAATTTAAAATATTAGATTTTAATATAATTTTAAAAAATATATTTTAATGTTTAAATATAATAAAATAAATTTTAATATATAGTATATATATATATATATTTTTTTTTTTTTTTTTTTTTTTTTTTTTTGAGACGGAGTTTCGCTCTTGTTACTCAGGCTGGAGTGCAATGGCGCGATCTCGGCTCACCGCAACCTCCGCCTCCTGGGTTCAGGCAATTCTCCTGCCTCAGCCTCCTGAGTAGCTGGGATTACAGGTGTGTGCCACCATGCCCAGCTAATTTTTTGTATTTTTAGTAGACACGGGGTTTCACCATGTTGACCAGGATGGTCTCGATCTCTTGACCTCGTGATCCACCCGCCTCGGCCTCCCAAAGTGCTGGGATTACAGGCTTGAGCCACTGTGCCCGGCCAATTTTATTATATTGTACTGTTTATCGAATCTATAGTTGATGTCCTCTTTCATTCCTGATATTGGAAAATTTGTTTGCTCTTTTTTTTGTTAGCGAATATACCTAGGGGCTTTTAACTTTATTGATCTTTTCAAAGAAATACCATTTTGTTTCATTAGGGTTTTTTTGTTTGCCTGCTCATTTTATTATGTTTTCTATTATTTCCTTACTGCTTTGGGTTTAATTTACTTTTTCTAGTTTCTTAAAGTAGAAGTTTAGGTTATTGATTTGAGATATTTTCTCTTCTAATATAAACATTTAATGGCATAATTTTCTCTTTAAGCACAGCTATAGTCACATCACACAAATTCTGATATGTTGTATATGTATTTACTTCAGAATGTTTTTTATAATTCTACAAAATTTTCAGCATTTTTCTTTTATCTATTGTCTCTCCTTTGTTATTTTTGCTATCTCTATGGCAGTCTGTTTGACACAACTTAGACCAGTCCCTTTATCCTTTTGTTTCTTAATTTTTCCTTCCTTCCTTCCTCTGTTCCTCAGAGTCTTGTGTTCTGTTGCCCAGGCTGGAGTACAATGGTACAATCACAGCTCACTGCAGGCTTGAACTCCTGGACTCAAGTGAGCCTCCCTCCTCAGCCTCCCTAGTAGCTAGGACAGTTACAGGTGCACACCACTGTTCCTGACTAAGTTTTAATTTTTTTTTTGTAGAGATGAGGCATTGCTATGTTGCCCAGGCTAGTGTCAAACTCCTGGCCTCAAGTGATCCTCCTACCTCAGCCTTTCAAGTAGCTGGAACTGGAGGCATGTGCTGCCAGGTCTGGCTGATGAGCATTTTTATCTGGCTTTAAAGTGCTTGTTAAATAATTCCAAACATCTGTGTCATCTCATCATTGATATTTGTGGTTGACTTTTCCTGGTTTTTCATATGCTGAGTAATTTTGGGTTATATCTTGGACATTTTTATTAGGATTTTTTTTTAAAAATACTCTGGGTCTTGTTTCATCAGTCTGCCAGTTTTATTGTCATTCAAAATCAGGCCTCATCAATATGCCTGTTTCTATTTACTTTTCAAAGTAAATAACTATGAACATCCTTAGATTACTATACCATCCATCTCTCCAGGTTTTATTGCTACTTCCAATGGGAAAGATAGGTTGGAATGTTCTTCCTCCATTGTACCTAGAACCTTCCTTCCAGAGAGGATTTTACTTTTGCTTTATTCAGATAACACTAGCTCCTGAACAATTTTTAAGTTAATTTCTTGAAATTTGAACCTCAACTTTAAATCCCAAACCTAAATTAGGCACATAAATCTTACTTTGAATTTAGAGGTGAGACTTTTTTCTCCCTCTTCAGAGACCAGTAGTAACAAAGTTCCTTTCTATTTTCCTATGCCAGTAGGCAGAGAATTTTTTCTAGCCTATTCTTTCAGTAAGAATTTTAGCAGTGGCCAGGCATGATGGCTTATGACTATAATGCCACCACTTTAGGAGGCCAAAGCAAGTGGATTGCTTTAGCTCAGGAGTTGAAGACCAGTCTGGGCAACATGGTGAAATCCCATCTCTACCAAAAAAATACAAAAGTTAGCCAGGTGTGGTGGTGTGCGCCTGTTGGGAGGCTGAGGTGGGAGGATCACCTGAGCGCTGGGAGGTCAAGGCTGCAGTGAGCCATGATTATACCACTGTACCCCAGCCTGGGTAACAGAGTGAAACCCTGTCTCAAAAAACAAGCAAAAATTTTAACATGCAGGGGTGGGGTTTTAGTCTCACTTTCAATTTCCTTTCTGTGATGGGTCCATTTTTCTATCCCAAAGCAGTGTTAAAAATCCTCTTGTGTCCAGGCACAGTGGCACGTGCCTATAGTCCCAGCTGCTTGGGAGGCTGAGACTGGAGGATCACTTGAGTTCAGGAGTTTGGGCTGTAGTGCACTATGCCAGTCGGGTGTCCACACTAAGTTTGGCATCAATATTGCGATGTCCCAGGAGCAGGGGACCACCAGGTTGCCTAAGGAGGGGTGAACCAGGCAGGTCAGAAACAGAGCAGATCAAAACTCCCGTGCTGATCAGTAGTGGGATTGCGTCTGTGAATAGCCACTGCACTCCAGCCTGGGCAATATAGTGAGACCCCATCTCTAAAACAGATAGATAGATAGATAGATAAAAAAGAAAAATCCTCACATAGGCCAGGCATGGTGGCTCACACCTGTAATCCCAGCACTTTGGGAGGCCTAGGCGAGGAGATCACCTGAGGTCAGGAGGTAGAGACTAGTCTGGCTAACATGGTGAAACCCCATCTCTACTAAAAAATACAAAAATTAGCTGGGCGCAGTGGCAGGCCCCTGTAATCCCAGCTGCCCAGGAGGCTGAGGCAGGAGAATCACTTGAACCCAGAAGGTGGAGGTTGCAGTGAGCCGAGATTGTGCCATTGCACTCCGGTCTGGGAGACAGAGTAAGACTCCATCTCAAAAAAAATTTTTTTAAATCCTCACATGTAGCACTCCAGGGCAACTGTGGCCCCTGACCCACTAATGAAAGTTTCTTATCTTTCTGGAGGTTAAAGCGAGAGGATCTCTTCTCAAGCCCAGGAGTTCGAGACCAGCCTGGGCAACATATTATAGCAAGACCCTGTCCCTGCAAAAAAACTTTTAAATTAGCAAGACATGGTTTCATGTACCTGTGGTCCTATCTACTTGGGAGGCTAAGGCAGGAGTATCGCTTGAGCTCAGGAGGTTGAGGCTGCAGTGAGCTTTCAGGCCACTACAACCCAGCCTAGGTTGACAGAGACCCTGTCTCTCAAAAAATAAAAATAAATAAAAGTCAAATGGCATACACAAAAAAAGTAAATGCCCAATTAGAATACAAACTAATGTATTATTAGAATTGCCAGAATTTCTAATATTCATATACCACGTGTATTTGTATAATATGTTTATATTTATATATGTTTTAGGCTAGGGACTATAATTATGTCTACAATGAGTCAGGATTAAAAGAATTCCTGTTATCTCTTGTGACTGAAAAAAAGCAGTGTTTGATTTAGAAAAAAGAAATTTTCAATATAATGAAATTAATACTGGTTTCAAATTGTAACTTTCAGGTACTGTGGAAAGGGCAATTTTGAACTTAGAGAACAAAAATAAAACCACTGCTATAAATAGCTAAAGAGAATCTCCATTTTTGTGGTTACTTTTGTCTTTGTTTAGTTTACTGAATTATTGGCATTCCATGTAAAATTCAGTTAGGAATCTCAGGTTAGTAGATAAGGAGATTTGTTTCCTTTCACTAATAGTGGTTTCTTTTCAGAAACATGTTCTCCTTCCTTCCTGCCAGGAATGAGTAGCGACAGTGACATTGAATGTGACACTGAGAATGAGGAGCAGGAAGAGCACACCAGTGTGGGCGGGTTTCACGACTCTTTCTTGGTCATGACACAACCCCCGGATGAAGGTGCAACACATGATGTCATTTTACACAGATTAATAAAACCGCCGTTGCTGCTTCTCTTTCTTCTTCTTCTGCTGCTGCTACTTCTACTACTTCTGCTCTGCTGCTTTTGCTTCTTTTGCTTCTACTTCTTTTTTTTTTTAATTATTGTCATTTGTGAGACAACATTCTTTGTTAAACTATTATGGTGAGTACTGAAAAAACATAGTTGGTAATATTTGACTTGGTTGCACCTAATGAGTACTACTTACTGGGTAGAGAAGGGGCCCACAGCCTGCTTTTGTATAGTCCATGACCTGGGAATGGTTTCTACTTTGTAAAGAGGTAAAGAGTCTTAAAAAACAAGCAAAAGAAACCAAGAAGAATTTTCTTTTTTTTCTCCCCCTTTCCCCCTCAAGACAGAGTCTTGCTCTGATACCCAGGCTGGGGTGGCGTGGCACGATCTTGGCTCACTGCAACCTCCACCTCCTGGGATCAAGCCATTCTCCTGCCTCCACCTCATGAGTAGTTGGGATTGCTGGCACACACCACTATACCCGACTAATTTTTTCTTTGTATATTTAGTAGAGATGGGGTTTCACCATGTTGGCTAGGCTGGTTTTGAACTCCTGACCTTGTGATCCACCCGCCTCAGCCTCCCAAAGTATTGGCATTACAGGCATGAGCTACCGTGCCCAGCCCAAAGAAGAATTTTCAACCGAATCCATTTGTGGCCTACAATGCCTAAATATTTACTCTCTACCTTTCATAGCAAATGATTGGCAATGCCTAGGGAGACTTCAGATATTTGGGGTTTTTTTCAGAGATTTTTCTAGCGTACTCTAAGATAACTTTAAAAATAACCTTTTCTGGGCCGGGCACGGTGACTCAAGCATGTAATCCCAGCACTTTGGGAGGCCGAGGCAGGTGGATCAGGAGGTCAAAAGATCAAGACCATCCTGGTCAACATGGTGAAACCCCATCTCTACTAAAAATATTTTTAAAAAATTAGCTGGGCATGGTGGTGCATGCCTGTAATCCCAGCTACTCAGGAGGCTGAGGCAGGAGAATTGCCTGAACCCAGGAGGCAGAGGTTGCGGTGAGCCGAGATTGCGCCATTGCACTCCAGCCTGGGTAACAAGAGCGAAACTCCGTCTCAAAAAAAAAACCTTTTCTGATTTCTTAGAAATACATGAAAATTATGAAATCAATTTTTATTATCTCCTATCCCCAAAAAAGTTATTTGGAAAAAATTCAACGAGAGAAACCTACTGTTAATATTTTACCTTGTTTTTTTTCTGTTCTCATTTGCATTTCTTCTACCTAATTTTTTTTGAGACTGAGCCTTGCTCTGTCTCCCAGGCTAAATTGCAGTGGCTTAATCTCAACTCACTGCAACCTCTGTCTCCCAGGTTCAAGCAATTCTCCCACCTCAGCCTCCTGAGTAATCAATAAAAGGATATACTGTCAAGTTAGAGAAATACACATTTAAAGTTACCCAGAGGCCTTAATAATCAATCTGAACATTGCTCTGCAAGATATCCTAGAGTGACAATATTGTCAAGCCTATGCTAATTGTCTGCTTTATATTTTACATATTTTCCTGGTGTTCTGGTAACTTTTTCAATACAGAACGAAGCATTTGATGATTTGTAAGTATTAAGGCATCTTTAGTAACTTCCTCTGCTTCTAAAAGAAGCATCCAAATTTTGTGCAAGTTATTTGGAGTGCTGGTGGTTTTTATGATACTTGCATGTGTAATTTAACTGGCTTTGAAATAGGTTTTATGTTTATAAGGTCTTGAATCTTGAGAATATACATCATTGCTTCTTGTTTCCTTCTTAAGCTGCCCCAGCATTGTCCCCAGGAGGACAAAATGAGACAATTCCTGTCATCTTTTAATTGTGGGTGTCTGTTACACATTTTATTTTTTCTCCTTTATTTTTTCTTTATGTTTGCTTATACCTGACTCAGATCACAAATTCTCAGAAGACAGAGATTTGTTCACAACCCAGCACATCTTTATCACTTAACACATTTGATCATTTAAAGACTTGGGAAGGAAAATACTCCTCCTGTTACATTATATGCTTTTAAATTTTAAATTATTATTTTTTTTATTCATAGATACACATTCCAGTTTTCCTGATGGTGAACAAATAGGCCCTGAAGATCTCGGCTTCAATACAGATGAAAACAGTGGAAACTAATTGCCAAATCAAGAGAACTGACTTGCAAGCTACATTGACCCAGAATTTTGCTATAGTTGGTGCTCAATTTTGTCATCAGTCAGATAATCAGATTTGGTCTTACTTTTTCATTACCTGAAAGAGTAATTTGGAAACTGTCGAAAGGTTGCACAATTTAGAATAACATCACAGTAGTAGATGGGAAAAAACAATATGGGAAGAGTTCTTTGTAATGTAAGGAAATGACAGTGTAGTTCTCTATTAATGTAGCAAATGTGTGCATTCACAAAAGGCAGTTTTAACTGCCAGAAAATGTACCCCCAGGTCATGCATGCCCTCAGTAACCTGCTCAGCATTGGTGCTCTACTGTCTTTGGCTAGAACTTAGTTGTGTCTAAATGATCACCTTTATATTTGGGGTTTTAATTACACTTTAGTTACAGTTCCATTAGTGCCTATAGATTAGTGACCAGAACAATTGCTTATGAACAGATTCTGCCCTGTAGACACTTTATGTGAATAACTGAAGTAACCCTAGACTGAGTCTCCTCTTTGGGTAGGTATCTTCTCTCATTATTTCAAGTACAGGCACACTGTTGATTGGCATGTAATCTTCCTTTTGTGTCACTTCTGCAAGTGTAATTTTAAATAAGTTAACATGGACTTGTTCTGTTCCTGGTCCTGTAAACACATCTAAGATTATTTAAAATTATTTCATTTTTTTCTGCCTCTTACCATACAACTGTAGTGCAACAAATATTTTAAAGCCCCTTTTTTCTTCATTTTCATTAGTTGGACATTGATTTCAGTGTCAACACATTTAAAGATTCATTTATGTTGCACAGTGGCTTATATGAAAGTGAAACTGATATAAGATTTTCTTTCATACTTACAATTAGCCCAAAACAGTTTCCACACTTTGCCATTGTGCTCTTGCATTTGTGTTTGAGCTGCTGTGTATTGTGAAAATTACATTGAAAGTTGACTAAGAGACTATTAACAACGCATGATAATTATACATGTGAGAGACATCTGCTGTATTTTACTTAGTGAATATTATTCACTTGTCCGTGTCTGATGTCTTGCTGAATGCTGTGACTCAGTTTACTTTTGTTCAAAATAGTTTGCACTTTTTTAAATAAAATCAACTTGAGAAAATATGCCTCTGCTATTTATTAAATTGGAACCAGAAACCCTTTTTTCTACTCATTGCTTGTGGCTATTTAGTAGTATAGAGAGGATCCAAACATTTGGTTGTTTTGTGTTTAGTTTCATGATAAGGAGTGATGCCTAGCGTTGATCCCAGTCATTCTAAAATTTTAATAAACCTGAAAGACCAAAAGATTTCTTCATTACCTTGCTTCTGTATTTAGTATTTTATCTCAAGTTCATTTCTGGAAAATTTCTCCTGAATAGAGTTTTCTATTAGGGCTAGAGATACATTAATGCTTGTATTGTGTATGAACATATCCTTTCTAGACAACTTTAACTACTTGTGTCGTTGATCCTTAAGTAACCTTTGAGGTAGATGAGTTGTATATCAAACCTGTTTGGCCATGGAGCCTGACGTGTGGGGAAGTTGTATCATTCTCTTAAGGTTTAACACCACTGGCAGGGATGGCTGAACTGCTGTTCTAGTGCCTTTTCCACTTTATCTCACTTGCACCAAACCCAACATTCTGATACCTAATAATTAAAAACCTAAAGATTATTCTTGTCTTTAGCTTTTAATTTTAAGATTATTTTAGGTTTGCAAAAGAGTTGTAAAAATTGTGAATTTCCGTATACCCTCTGCCCAGCTTCTCCTTTGTTAATGCCTTGCATAATTATAGAACAATGGTCAAAACTAAGAAATTAATCTTGGTTACAGTATTGTTAATCAGTCTACAGAATTTGTTCAGATTGCATCAGTTATTTCACAAATGTTCTTTTTCTGTTCTAGGATCCCACATTGTACTTTGTTAGCATGTTTCCTTGGTATCTTTCAGTATATGATAGCCCCAGCATCTTTCCTTGCTTTTTGACCTTGATATTTTTGAAGAGGATGTGTTATTTTATTAGATGTTCTTCTGGCCAGGCGCAGTGGCTCCCGCCTGTAATCCCAGCACTTTGGGAGGCCAAGGCAGGTAGGTGGATCATGAGGTCAGGAGATTGACACCATCCTGGCCAACAGAGTGAAACTTCATCTCTACTAAAAATAGAAAAGTTAGCTGGGTGTGGTGTAATTCTAGCTACTCAGGAGGCTGAGGCAGGAGAATCACTTGAACCGGGAATCAGAGGTTGCGGTGAGCCAGTCCATCTCAAAAAAAAAAAAATGTTCTATTTGGGTTTGTCAGATGCTTTCTTTAACTTGAGGTTATGCATTATTGGGAAGGCCCTTCTCAGTGCATCACATCAGTGGGACTACAACGTTTATATGTAAATATATATACACATACATATAGATTTTATTTTATTTTATTTTTGGATGGAGTCTCACTGTCACTCAGGCTAGAAGGCAGTGGCATCAGCTTGGTTCACTGCAAACTGCTTCCCGGGCTCAAGCAATCTTTCCACCTAAGCCTCCTGAGTAACTGGGACTATAGGTGTCCACCACCTTACCTGGCTAATTTTTGTATTTTTTGTAGCGATAGGGTTTCACCATGTTGCCCAGGCTGGCCTCTAACTCCTGAGCTCAAAGCCATCCACCCACCTCAGCCTCCCAAGGTGCTAGGATTATAGGCACAACCCACCACTCCTGGCCTTATGTTTTTTTTTTTTTTTTTTTTTTTTTTTTTTTTTTTTTTTTTTTATGAGACAGTCTCGCTCTGTTGCCAGGCTGGGTGCAGTGGCATGATCTTGGCTCACTGCAACCTCCACCTCCCGGGTTCAAGTGATTCTCCTGCCTCAGCCTCCCAGGTAGCTGGGAGTACAGGCCCACACCAACACACTCAGCTAATTTTTGTATTTTTAGTAGAGAGAGGGTTTCACCATGTTGGCCAGGAGGGTCTCGATCTCTTAACCTTGTGATTCGCCTACCTTGGCCTCCCAAAGTTCTGGGATTACAGATGTGAGCCACCGTGCCCAGCTGATGTCGATATTTTTTTATTGGTGAATTTAACCTTGAGATTACTTGGTTAAGGTGGTGTTTGTGAGGATTCCCTACTAGAAATTTTAAATTTAGTTTTTTTCCCTTTGTAATTACTAATATTTGGGGCAGATACTTTGAAACTATGCAGATACCTTGTTTCTATTAAACCTTTTTTTTTTAAAGACAGGGTCTGGCTTTGTTACCCAAACAGCTGGAGTGCAGTGGCTCGATCTAGGCTCAATACAGCCTCAACACCCTGGACTTAAGTGGCCATCCTACTTCAGCCTCCTGAGGCATACAAAAAATAATATTTTTGTATTTTTTGTAGAGATGGGGTCTTGAACTCCTGGGCTCAAGCAGTCCTTCCACCTCAGCCTCCCATAGTGCTGGGATATAGGCATGTGCCACTGCATCCAACCAAAACTCTCACTAATTTTATCACCTAGTAGTCGATCTTTGCCTATGGGAATTATTACTGTAATGTTTAGTTTTCTAATTCTCTAATTTTGTCTGTGTTTTTTATTAGAATGCTATAAGGAAAAGTCCTTCCCCATTTTTAAAATTTTAGTCACTTAATTATATCAGCTACTTTATGTCCATGTATAATGGATATGTATTTTGTTTTTGAGTTATGACTCAATGCTGTTAATATTTTGTAGCTTGGCTTGTTCTAGTTTTAGCTATTGGAAACTCATCCAGATTGGCTCCTGTGCCCTTTTCATATGTCCCATTCTTGTTTTTTTTTAAGCATTTCTTTGCTTTCTGACATCACAAGATGCCGACCCCAGCCATGGAGTTAACCACTTCCTGAGGAACCATGGTTCTTTTTATTGGAGAATGCTATTTAGAAACAAAGATTTGGATGCCATGTATTTATTATTAATAGACTGTCACTGCTTCTAGTCCCACTCTGTGGATAGACAGAAAATGTAAATTGGCTGAGTGTGGTGGCATGCACCTGTAATCCTGGCTACTTGGAAGGCTGAGGTGGAAAGATCATTTGAGCTTGGGAGGTAGAGGTTGCAGTGAGCCAAGATTATGCCACAGCACTTCAATCTGGATGACAGAGTGAAACCCTGTCTCGAAAAAAAGTAAATGTAGACAGCTGTTCCCTCAGTATCTGTGAGGGATTGGTTCCAAGACCCCACGTGGATACCAAAGTTCTCAGATACTCAAGTCTCCATATAAAATGGCATAGTGTTTGCATATAGCCTGTGCACATCCTCCTGGATCCTTTGTTTTGGGTTTTGAGACAGGGTCTCATTCTGTTGCCCAGGCAGGGATGCAGTTGTGCATACATAGGTCACTGCAGCTAGGAACTCTTGGACTCAAGTAGTCCTCTCACCTCAGCCTCTCAGGTAGCTGGGACTACAGGTATGAGCCACCACGCCTGAGCTTCCAGATACTTTAAATCATCTCTGTAATACCCAATGCAGTGTGAATGCTGTGTAAATTAGTGTTGTGCTATATTTCTTCTTTATTTTTAAAAATAAACTCTGTCCATAGTTGCTTGACTCCATGGATGCAGAAACCAAAGAGAGAGGGCTGATTGTAAAGGTACTCATGCAAATACACACATTCGTAGGTATGTCTGTACATCTCTGTGTGTGTGTATGTGTGACTGTGACTATGAGTCTATATTGGTAACAGTTCAACTCTGAGAGGCCTCATTCTGGCCTTCCCTCTTATCTTTCTCTGACACAGGCCTAGCGCTCATTAGCTACAATATATGTATCTACTTGTCCAACCCTAATATACAGGTAGCTTCAAAACTGTTGGCCTCCTGTGGATTCCAGGCTATGCCCTACAAAAACCAAATTTACCACCTAAAATATAGTGTTTGTGTACCATTCTTTGAGTCTTTAGCTTTTCAGTATTGTATCATAACATGTTTTCAGATTCAAAGGTCCTTAGATTCAAAATCGGTTCTTTTCTTTTCTATTCCCTTCATTGTGTTTTGTGCTTCACTGGTAACACAGTTAGGTCCATCTGTTATGGTCTACATTCTGTCTTCCCCCACATATCCTGGTTAATTTGTAAATTTACATACATTAAAATTCAATCTTCGTGGCATAGTTTTGTGGGTTTCAACAAATGTCATGTATCTGCCACCACAATACTATACACAACATTTCAGTCACCCCAAAAATTCCCTGTCCTGAGGCTTTATAGGTAACTACCTCCCTTCCCTGCAGCTCCTGGCTACCACTGATCTGATTTGGTCTGTTTTCTGCACTTTTAGTTTTCCCTTTTCCGGAGAGTCATGTAAACGGGATCACAATTCGGCCTCTCACTTCGCAATGTGCAGTTAAGTTTAACTCATCTTGTGTGAATCAGTACTTCATTCTTTTTTATTGCTGAGTAGTAGTAGTCCACTGTGCGGATATATACCACCGTTTATTCATTTACCCATTTGGGTTATTTCTAGTTTAGGCTGATTCAATTCTTGTAAACGTTTGGGTACAAATTTTTGTGTGAGCATAAGCTTTTATTCTCTAGAGTGTTATATGCTGTATTAGTTTTCACACTGCTCATAAAGACATACCTGAGACTGGGCAATTTATAAAAGGAAGAGGTTTATTTGACTTATGGTTCCACATGACTGGGGAGGCCTCACAATCATGGTGAGAGGTGAAAGGCACATCTCATATGGCGGCAGACGAGAAAAGAGCTTGTGTAGGGAAACTCCCCCTTATATAATCATCAGCTCTCATGAGACTTACTATAGTGAGAATGACACAGGAAAGTCTTGCCCCCATGATTCAGTTACCTCCCACTGGGTCCCTCCCACAATACGTGGGAAATCAAGATGAGATTTGGGTGGGGACACAGCCAAACCATATCATATGCCTGGGAGTGGGATTGCTGGGTGTGTAATAGAGAATTGTGTGGCCTTTGTCTCTAGTTCCTAGGAAGTGCCCTCTACATCTTTGGTATTCCTCAAGTGATAGGAGTGATTTATGGTGGGCCTTGCTAGTTTATGCTAATGAGATGACTCAGGATGGGGGCTAGCTACACCAGAAAGGCCATGAGTATCATTAGAGGGTTGGGTTTCTGAACCATGTGATAGCCCAGTTTAGGCTCATTGCC